TATTCTGACTGAAACGCATTTTATCCTTATTTCCAGTGACTGAGGCCAATTTTAATAATAAATTGTTATGAGAGAAACAATGAACTAAGTTGGAAGAAAGAAAGAGTCAGGTCTCAGCATGAGCAGACACTTACCCACCTCTGCCCCACACTTTGAAGAACTTGATTTGACCCATAGAGCACACTATTCCTAGGTGTCCTCTTACTGCAGGTATTTGCAGTTACGGGCTGAAGTTTCTGCCCTTAAGGGCACATTTGGTCACAACTGAAGGACGATACTTGCTTTCTGTTACTGCCCTCCACATCTCCAGCACACTCCTGCAGACGGGGGAAGCAGAGGCAGCGTAACTTGGGCTCCTACGGGAGCAGCTTGTGCTGCCTGCGTGTTCTGGGCAACAGGCAGGGGCAGCAGGTGGGGCAGCAGCCTCTCATCCTGCTGCTCACTGGCTGGCAGCAATTCTGCGTTCTTCGCTGACCAATGACCCACAATTAGGTGAGCAGGCAGGAGTGTCTATACTGTGCTTCACAGCCTCCCTTCTTACTTTGTCACTTTGATGGGCTTTGAAAAGGCTAAAAGTTCAGACCTGGGCTCCCCTCCCCAACACCCACCTCAAACAAACTGTGTACTCAACACTGATGCCTGGAGATTTAGATGGGAAAAAGTTGAGCCCAATGGTAGCACCACAGATTTTTACAGGAGCCTTATCGAGCACAATGTGTTTCAATCTTTCCAGGACTGAACTCCGATGTCAGAGGGCGAGTGGAAAGCATGGACAAACAGACTTTCCTTCTTTGTGTGCTGCTTTCGCAGTGCCCCTTTTGCCAACCTAATCAGACGGAGATAAACACCTTGCAATATACTGTACAACTGACGTCAGCTTTTTGTGTGCTTGGAATGACGTCAGCACCAGCTTTGCAATGCTTTAATCTCTTGAGCAGAAATAAGCACAGCAGCAACTAAACTATTACTTTCCACAAGCTGCCACGCCAAGATTATTTCCTTTTTCCCCTGCTGGCTACAGATGCTGGGTGAAGGAGGCAGGAGAGCCAGAACAAAGAAATCCACTCCTGTACTGAGCCAGTTTCTGTGAGGAGTCTAAATGAATTTAAATTGAGTAATAAAAAGAATAAATTACACCTCTCAGCAGAGAAGTCAGGCCTGTTTAGGCCCTAAAGAAATGGATTCTACTCATTTACATCAGAGCAAATAATATCAAATTCATTTCTCAGAATTTACACTACGATCACTGTAAATGTGTTTTCTCTCACATTTGTATATATTCACTGATATACTTAAAGCTTTCCAAGTCAAATACGGTCTAGAGTTTCACACTTTTACAGAGGCCTCTGGCGAGGCATCTCCAGAGAATCAAAATTTCAAGCTAATACTATAAATTTGCTTAGTTCAGAAGTCAAAAAAGCCAAAATGGAGGCACATTGGGAAAAGCAAATGTCAGTCGCAGAACTAGCCTGATTTAAGTTTGGTTTGGGGTTTTTGGTTCTTTTTAAGAAATTTTCCTCAGCTGTTTTTCCTGGTCCAGGGGAATTACACCGTATTACAGGTCATTTATACTCTGTTTTACTTACACTTTGATTTCAATTTGTCTCATCATGTTACCAATTTTCAACATTTGCTTCTACTGAAAGAACAGGACAGTTACAAGCTAGTTAAGTTGCTAGCTAGACTGTCACTTATTAACTTATTAAGTTTTTCATAGAAACCTTAGCCAAAACTTTAAGAATAAAGAACTGAACATTACTAATTCTTTTGGTATTCATTATGCTATTAGTCACAGAGCTCACTCATACATTTCCAAATTTCAACACAATCATTTCAGGATGAAGAGTATTATTTTTTTCCCCTTCTTAATAATTTTTCCTTGGCATCACATTTCATATCCTTCCTCTCTGACTACCAGGAAGGTGCAGTTTGGGGGTTTTAGGGGCTTGAGTTGGGCTTTTGTCTTTTTCTTTTCAGAAACACAAGTTTACCAGGGTTATTTCATCTACAAGATAATGCATTTTTAACTGATTTGTTTACCTCCATAACACATGCATACCTCAGTGAGGCTAAGGGATCAGGTTATATGACATCATGGTGCCAAAGGAATAATTGTCACTTGTTTGTGCAGTCCTGAAGAAAAGCCTGTAGCTTGAAATCACACACAATGCTGCAATGACAAAAATATATAGGAATAGAATATAGTTGTAGTTAAAAAAAACAAAAAAAATTATTTTTTTTTTTTCATTTGGGAGGGGTACAGAGGAGGTGGAGGGCCTCTGCTCCCTAAGTCTGCCATTGGGTCATATTCTGTGAAATGGTTTTGCTTGTAGACATGACTTTTCACCCTGCATAGTTGTGAGATGACCATCCTTTTCCCCAGGTCCAAGAGGCAACTAAGACTATCTGACAGTCCGCTCAGAAAAATCCTGCATCCCACTGCAATTGCTACCCAAATCAAGGGTTGAGCAGCACTAAGAAAGCTGTCTTGAGGCACTTCTGCAGCAAGCAGTGCTATACCTGTACTAGACTAGCAGTGCCCGTAAAATAAAACGAAGAGCCAGAAATCAGCTGTTTGAATCACAAATCCCCCTCTTGGGTTTCACTTTAGGGACAAGGAAGCTCCAAAAACGAGACATCCCTTCAGCATTTTATAAAGCTGACTTCAGCTGCCAAAGGATTCCTCTGCAGCAACACCGAGAAAGCTTTAGCCTCAAGTAAAAAATTCACTGCAAACGAGCAATCATTAGTCAGCTGCATTTTTCATATAATTACTGGCAGTGAAAAATCAAGCATGCAGGTTGCTGGAAAATAAGGTCTAACTACTTCCACCCAAACAGAACAGAAGCTGTTCACATAAGTTTTAGTGGGGGAGAGGGAAATCCTCAGCACTACCCTTCTCTCTATGACTGATTACAATCTGCTTTTTTCTTTAAAGCACATTTATTGTGGGAGTTTGATTTGAAAGAATTTCAAGTAATTTAAACTTTGGCTGCAGGCATACAGATCATTTAAAAACTGATCTTCAAGTGTTTCTACATGTTAATAACATTTCTGTTGGTGCTATAATCAACCTACCAACTCAATTATCAATACATTGAATCACCTAGGATGAAATCACATAGCACAAAGTTAGCCAGACTGACAGTAAACGCTGTGTTAGCAGTTTTGGTGCAATACTCTTGCAGGGGGGAGGTTTAGGGCTCTAGGGTTTCTTTAGGGGTAATTGTCAGCCACCCTTAGATTTTTCAAACTATAAAAGTGCTGAAAACAGCCTGCACAGTGGTTCAAATCAAAGCACAGTTCAAATTGTCTTTTCCTAATGGATCAGAATTCATCTGTCCTGCCTCATATTCACAAAGCACGTTATTACCCCGCATGCACTTACAGATGATGTCACTATCTGCATCTTTTAACTGTTATTGAAGATGAGTGACAGAAACACAATCTGGCCTTAAATTAAAGACAGAAAATCAGGAGGTGCTAATTCAGATCCATCCTTTCTGGAATTGAGGTGCAAATGCAAGATGTACATACCTCTGGGATTTTGAAAAGTGCAAGTGCCAGCTCGCTCCATTTTGGTATCTGTTCGCTGGCCAAAGAGCCTCCCACCACCAAAGTTCTCATCACATTTCAATACCCTTCTTGAAAAGGTAACTGGGCTTGGGACAAGCCAAAATAAAACAAAATAAAGGCCAGTTTTATTCATAGCAAATGGTAAAATTTTTGATGAAAAGGCTTAAAGTGTTACCTTGTAAATCTAAGTGCTAAGCTTGCTCAGATCACATGACTGGCAAGAACTTGTCAGCAACCATCTGAGTGTAAGAACATCGTTCACCACTGATGTTTAGTTAAATATGCACAATTTTATTTATTGAAGAGATTAGGACAAAAACATTAAACCAAATACATGACAAAGCACCAGAGGCAGTAAAACCCCACCATGCACATCACCAATCTTTCCTCCTATAAGGTACTTACAAAGTAAAAAAAAGTCCTTCTTGACACAGCACCATCTTCAGAGTGTAAAAACATTACTCCTTTATATTCTTAGTTACCAAAATAGAACCAAGGCAGGTCAGCTGCAGCTAGCTTTGTCTCTTGATAAAGAACTGTGAAACATCCTCTTGAGAGTGGGACCATAACTTTCCTGCAAGGCAGGCAAATAGCATCCATACGTCAAATGCCAAGTAGCTGTACGCACATGCCACATACTATAATTAAGCACAAATTCAAGTAACATTTACATACTACAGAGTCCACATGTACCTACCCAAAAAACATGACCACTTCACAAAACGTATACAGGCAGTAATATCAGAACAACTGAGGTACTGGAAACACAAATATTTATGCCAAGAGATTTCAGTATCATACAGCAATATAAAAGCAGTAATAAAAACATTTGCCAGTCTAAATCAAATAAAGCTATCTAGAAAAAAAAAAAAAAAAAAAGCTAAATAAAAAGTTATTTAGGGACAGAAATGCCTGAACAGAAAAGAAGTGTGTTAACTACAGCATGTAACATGTCATCCCAAGTCAACCCGTAATTGAAGTACTGGCTTAATACATCACTACTGTGACATTTTC